TAATGCTCTTAAAGATTCTGATAATTTGATTTGGTGAAAAAGGCTTCTGCTGCAAATAGATACTGTAAGTTCAGTTAAAAGAATGACTATTGAAGTCTGATTTCCCTGGAAATATACTACCTTTAATGATATGTACAATATACATTTTTTTATATATTTGTGTAAGTAATAGACAACATTAAAGCTCAGAATCTGTGCTACATAACCTCTTAGAAATGGGGAAAATGTGAGTTTCTTAAAGTTAATTTCTTGTGCTTGTATTGTAGGCAATATGGTATATGTTTAGTAGTTTTTGGTTAGATTCTTATTTCCAAGGTTCGTGACTTTTTAAATGTTTTAATAGCACCAGCGCTATGCTTTTTACTAGAAACTGTTTGCTGTTGCAATACCAGTTTGAACTTGATCTTTATTTTGAAATTCGCACAGCGCATTGGCACTGGAGCTTGTAAATCATTTAGGAATGTAGAACTGAAAAGGACTTTTGGGGTAGTCACTTGCTGTCATACAACAACAACATACACGTTCAGAAACTGATCAAACTCTTTTTTTAAAAACAAAAAGGCCTCTTTTTGCCCCCATTACGCCTGTTGAAATGGTGTTCTAGAACCTCAGTGCTCTGATAGCTAGAAATCTTAAAATTTTCAGTCAAGATTTTATTCATGGTCAGTTTATACCCATTTGTTTTTGACAACATTGTCAAGCTTATACAGTTTTTCCCCTGCATGGTGTTCATTCTCTCTCATATTTATAGAAGGTAATCGTATTTTCTCTTAGCTTTCATTCTCCTGGGCTAAACTAGCTAAGTTTTCTTTATGGTATGCCTGTCTTGAGCTAGGTAGCACTATGCCGATATATGCCATTTCCATTTAGAGACATTTTACACCAATTAGCTCCCATACTGGAAGTAAGGGTAACTATGCTACTTCCAGTTTGGGAGCTAGGAAGCATAGAGCAAGCAGAGCAAGTCTCCGGGTGGCATTACTTTGTGTGGGCAAGATATGCCCTTAACCTCTGTATTTCCCTCCTCATCCCAGTAATTCTCTGTACCTGTTCCAGTTTGATTAATTTTCTGAAACCTGTATGATCAGAATTGTATGAAGTATTCCAAATAAAGTCAATTTACAGTGGCATTATTATTTCCCTGCCTTTACTGAAAATACAGTACCTTACCAGATACATTCTAGGATCAGGTTTCCCATTTTCATGGCTGCTGTTTTGTGTGTGATGAACTAACATACCCAGGTTCTTTTTCTCTTCATTTCTAGCTGATGAGCTCCCAATTTTAGCAAAATTCTTGTTGTTAGTCTCTGATCCCACAACCTGTACTATATACTATTGAAAATCATTCCATTTTCATTATTCCATTTTCTCCTATATGATATCCTGATTTTCCCTTGCATAGATGAGGCATCCTAACATGTCATCAGAATATTTCCTTAGCATATTCCTACATTTTTTTTTATCCCTTCCTTTTTTTTTATGGATAAGTACTACAGCTCTTCTCCAGTTGTATGGTATATAGATTTGTGAAAAGCAAAGGCTTTTTTGGGAGATCTTGTATTGGCTCAACTGCAGAGCCAACATCTTGTATTGGCTCAAGATGTTAGACAAGCTTTCAGGCACAAAGTGCCCTCCCTCAGTTCTAGGAAGGAACCAGGTACAAGGCAGGGGGGTGGGGGTAGGGAAGGAGTTTACCCCCATTAGTCCTATTGAACACTTGTTCCAGAAGCTCACTAGTTTGATGGCTAAAAATTGTCTTTTAATTTTCAGCCGAAACTTTATTCATGGTCAGGTTTACCCACTTGTTTGTGACAACAGCGTCAAGCTTATATCATCTTTTCCCCTGAATGGTGTTTATTCTCTCTGATATACTTATAGACAGTAATCATATTCTGAGTAAGGGGTCAGTAACATATCCCCTGCAGGCCAGATTTGGCTGACGGAGCCACTGGATCAGGCCCATGGAGCAGTGGAGCACAGGCGGCGTTCTGCGTGATAAGGAACTGCATCAAGCCCAGGTGGCAATGAGCTGTGCCCACATCACAGCCAGTGGGGTGGGAAGAAATGGCAGGAGAGGCAGGGGCAGGTCAGACCAGCAGCCTACCAGAGACCCAAGCTGGGTTGTTTCAGCCTGCAGCTCCACTACATTGCTGACTGCTGGTTTAAGTTAAATACCAGATAGAACAGTGGTTTGTGTTTGATATTATATGTAAAGGAAAACAGGCACTTAAAGGAGTTGAGGAGGGCCTGTAAATAAGGATCAAAGAGAAGTTACCAGAAGTAGTCTCAAAACAGAAGAAAAGCAGTTATACAGATAATGTGATTATGTAAAAGAGGGATATCCAACTTCTCAGGGGCTGGAGGCTAAATTCCCCCCATGCCACCTGGGCCCTACATCAATATGTGTGACGACTCCTGCTGCAAGTACTCCCAAGCCTCCCATCTGGAGGCTCCTTCAGCTCTGTGGGCCTTGCTGCCCCCACTTTACTCTGCCCTGCCCCCAGGACCAGGACCAGGAATTGGGAGCTGGAGGAGGGGGAGAGTCTGAAGACTCCAGCTGCAGGAGCAGGAGAGTGATGGGGAGGAGTAATGCCTGGACCAGGGACCTGAGGGCTTCAGGTTAACTCCTTGGGCAGGGGGTGTGCATAGCCTTCAGGCTGTTAGTTGGACAGCCCTGATGAAAAAGAATAACATTGTTCAGAAGGGGAATGGATTGTTATTACCTGTGGATTGCAGAGAGGTTATAAGAGACACAGAATATAGTTAAGCAGGAAGCCATTTTCTGTGTGTGGTCCATGGTGTTTAGTGCCCACCATGCTGATCGATCCGTTCCTTGTTGGCTGTCACCTCAAAGGTTTGATTTATATTTTTACGTGGAGAACAAAATAGGGTATTTCTGTTTTACTGTGTTTAGAATGTGGGTGCTGAAAAATTAAGTATTTATAAGAAATTTAGGAATTTTTCTGATATTGCAAAGTATTCAGAAAGCAAGGAACCACAATACTAAATTCCTTTCATTTGTATATAGACACTATGTTTTTTTTTATTACCCAATGAAAACTCAAACAATTGGCCAGTGTTTAGTATTTCATCTGTATCCGAATAGATATGATCTGTCACTACCTCCTCTACTATCTTATGGCTACTCTAACTGCACTTGAATTTAGTTACTCTAGATGTGTGCCCTGTGTTAATAAGAACCAATCGCTTTCTCAAACTGGAGGCTATTCCTGGTAGTCCAAAAGCAGCCAGAGAAGTTGTAGTTTAAACAGAGCAACACTCCCAGCCTCCCAGAATTATCTTTCTTATTTCTTGAAATTTCAGTCACGAAAATGCATTAAATGTGTTACAGATCTGATTATAGTTGCAATACTCTCCTGTGCTGTATTTCTCTTGTGTTAAATAGATATGGATTTCTGACTTCATGGACCAGTAGACAACGAGTGTGTAATAGGAATATATATTTTCAAGTGGTTATCAAGCATGCAGTTCATAAATCGAGTTTATGCTTCCTGATTCACAAAATGGGGTATCCACTATGGAAAAAACATGTCATTCTATTTGAGATGGCAGGTTGGGAAAAAAGAAGGAAAGTGCTGGCAATGTTTTATGGCTATTAGAAGAAGAAAACAGTGTTTCTAATGACAGATCCTTTCCCTTGGGCTCTCACCAGGGTCAGCAGTTTTACCAATATATGTTCTATAATGCTGTTGATATACAATTGTATGTGAATTACTCTAAATCAACATTTGTTCAGAGGTGGACACAGAATGAATATACAATTCATATATAAAATGTACATATATATCGAGAATAAATGTTTGTTTGTTTGTTTGTTATAAATTGAAGGCAGTTGACAATTCACTTGATTAGTACAATCAAAGTCACAAAAATGTTTCTATATAATTTACTACAGTTATATAGTTAAAGAATATTTAATTTAGAGCTCTTAAAAGAGCAGAATTTCATCTGCTTATTCTTCAGTAGATTACCCAGATTTACTATTTTCTCAGAACCACAAATAAAATAACAAAAAATAACTCATGAATTTATGATAAAAGCCACTCAGATTTTATAGTCTGGGTTCTTGTTACAAGGAATATTTAATCAGAATGAATGACTTAATATGCTAAATAAAACAAATATTCCATTTGAGTGCAGGCTTTTGGTCATGGAAAAATAGCCACAAAGTCTCTGTGAAGAATGAAACTAAAATGTTCACTATGTATGTGGAATGAATGGGTTTTCACAGCTCTGGCCAGATTTCCAAGAAAGCATCAAGTTGTTGCACTTTTTATAATAAAAATTGTGTTCTTATCACTGTAAAGAGTTAACAAAAGCAATGTTTTAATGTGAGCCCCTGCTAATTTGGAAATATTGTCAAATGCCACTGGTTTGACTTACTCTGTTCCCTTTGATCTGGCTGATATTTGCAATCTGAATGAACCTGGGGGCTGCAGGTCAGGTTGTTGTAATCATTCTCTTCTAACTTACCATAAAAGCCAACCAACCAAAGAAACAAAATCCAGTATTTTTGGGCTGTTATCCATCTTTTTTTTCTTTTTAACCAAAAAGAAGCCTTCCTTGTTACTAGATATTAAAGCTTAATGTCTGTTGAATGCAGTAGAAATATGAACAGTTTGAAGAGATCCTAAAATGGTTCTTTTGAGTTTTTTGAGATTGTATCTCCAGTAGCCTGAGTAAAGATATATTCATATAATATCATTGCTTGACAGCTGATTTGTATCTGAACTGTGGTTTAGATTTAAATTTTGTGGCATGACTATAGGTTTTGTTGTGCACAAAACTTCTATAGAAACGAAAGGAAATCTTGTGTGCACAGTGGCTTTGTACAGCTGTTAATATGCTAAGATTTATATGCTTTCTAAGATGCAATGCTTTTAGTTAACAAAACTACAGTGAGATATCTGTTCACAATTTCAAACTAAATTTTAAATATTGTTTGTAACTGCTTTTATTTATTTTACTTTATTTTACAGAGACTCCTGCTGTATTTCCAGAGAATATAAAAGAAAAAGAAACACCAACACCAGTTGAAGATATTCAGCTGGAAAGCTCCATTCCTCATACAGATTCTGGAATTGGAGAGGAGCAGATGCCCAGCATTTTTAATGGGACAGACTTAGAGACTAGCACAGGCCCTGATGCTATGAGTGAACTGTTGTCTACTTTGTCTTCTGAGGTGAAGAAATCTCAAGAAAGTTTAGCAGAAAGTCCCAGTGAAATCCTGAAGCCTGCATCATCAATATCCAGTATCAGCCAAAGCAAAGGCATCAATGTCAAGGAAATACTTAAAAGTCTTGTGGCAGCTCCTGTTGAAATTGCAGAATGTGGTCCTGATCCTATCCCTTACCCTGATCCTGCCTTGAAGAGGGAAGCTCAGGCTATTCTTCCTATGCAGTTCCACTCCTTTGACAGGTATACAGCTGAGCTAATTATTTCATATTGTTTTAAAAGCTGAGGTTTGAAGGATTTATTTTTAATACGCTGATAGTCCAATATCAGATCATATTAGATGTTATTAAGATAATATGCTGGCTTACCTCTTCATTGCTGCATTATTAAAATCAGACTGTAGAGGACTATTTTTCTCTCTTTTTCTAAGCAGCAAGTAAATCTTTAATCAGTACTTGAAGAGCAAGTATACTTTAAAGAACTATTGCTGCAATAAACCTTTTCTCCTTTGAAACAATATTTTGAATGGGGGGGAGAGTGAAATATCTGTTAATCTAGAACAGACTAGCTGTGTGAATTTCCAACAAAATTCTTCCAAATGTTTAAATCTTATTTGATCTGTCGTACCACTACTCTTCCATTACTGAAACATTTCAGCTATGACAGACTGTGCACACATTGCCACAAGATAAAGATTGAGACTGACTTCCTTGTTTCATTTTTTTAAAGTTTTAAGTTCAGTATTTTTAATATTTGAAAGTGAGACATTGTGTGCCTAAAATACCTTATCTCTCAGGATAGACTAGTTGCTCAAATAATGTTTCTTATTAAAGTAGATTTATTTGAAATATCTAGTCCAAAAACATGAACTTGAATATAGGAATTGTTTAGAGATGCAAATGACAATATCCTGTCAAAACAAGACAAGTTACCTATTTTTTAACATTGTAGGACTATTTCTTAACCATGGGCTTGATTGAATTTCCAAATATGGCCTGTGTGTTTTGGACTTTTAGAGAAAAGATGTAAATACCATAAAAACAAATTAAACAATTCAGCAGTTGTGTTATATTTTATGGCAAAATTTTAAAAAAATGAAAAAAAAAACTTTCTACATGCACACAAAATAAATATATCGTAAGTAGGATAAATAATTGTCCAGATAATAGTCCAGGTGAACTATGTCCATATTTTCAGATTAATAAGAATAGAAAGGTACAGGTGGATGAATAGAAATTACAGAATAAAACATTTAGAATACAGTGCTAGGAAGCATTTCTTCATTGCACATTGTCTAGTGAAACTGATTTTATAAAAAAAAAAAGTTAAGGCTGTTACATGAGAAATTCAATAGACAGAGTTGTATCTATTGCAATAGAGAGCTGGAGAATGGACAATGACTGGAATATTTAAAAGGGAATATGGTATTGATGTGCTGAACTGCTTTTATCTTTTTCCCTACAGTATTTTAGTTCTTGTGATCATTTGAAAGAGAGAGCCCATTTATTGTTTAATTTAGTAGAAAGAGGTTCTTTTTCATTCACCACCCTACATATTGTAATTTGGGCAGGTTTAAGGGCAGGAAATAGTAACATGAAGAATCTTGTATTATTTGAAGTCAGGGGTATTCTATCTCTTTTATTTGAGAAACAGTTGTATTCCCAAACCTATAAAAAGTTGTATTCCTTTATATTCAGCAGTACAGAATCTGTACTGTGCTTAACAATTATTATTTCATAAAAAATAGTAAGTTCTTAACGAAGGTTGTAGCATGTTGGCTCTAACCCAGCAATAGAATCTGTTAACATGGACCCCTGCATCTCACAGAAAGTCCTCTTGTTATTAGTGGGATTCCACATTCCTGGGTGTCTGAATTAGTGGCTTCCAGTATGGACTGAGAGCCCGTGATGTAAAGATTTAGTTACATGTCTTAAAATATATTTTTCATTGTACATTTACCATTTTTAATAACTATGAAGTCTATATAGTGAGATTAAATAATTGTTTATTTTCTTATAACCACTGTGCCAAATTGTGACTCAGCCTTATTGTGCAGGAATACATAATCAAACCAGTGTATTAACAGCATGTACTGCACAAAGTCTGTGCACAGCATGGTTGACTCCTTCCCCTGAGCGACAAGAGCTGGGAGGGTGCAGTGACTGGAAGAAACAGGCACAATCCCTTAATGCCATTGCCCCTTACTCAAAGCAGATTGTTATTTTGTGATTCAGCTCACCACACGGATTAGTGGCTGTCAACTTCTTTTATTCCAAAAACTTCTTTCCGTCATCATGGCTGTCATGAAACCCCTTGCACCTTTAGCTGAGGCCTTGGATCCACTTACTAATAGGGAAAAGACAGGTTAATTGCAAACATCTCCCTCCGCTAACACTTGTTGACAGATTCAAGATTGAGAACCTCTACCCCTCTTCTAGAAAAGCAAAATGAAAGATTTTGTGCTGATCAGGGGAGTATTCAGCAATGGCAGAGCCACATTTAGCAAACAAAAGCCATGCATTTCTATATATTCCCATCCACGGATTCAAAGCAGTCATGTGGAAACCAACAAATACAAGCAAGGAAATGCAGCAGCTGCTGCTGTGTCCATTTGTTCACATAAAATAGTGACGAGAGAGACTTTCAGTCAAATCCACCAATTTTAGAGCTTCATTAAATATCTTTTTTCAATTCTGCTAGCATTTTCCATCCCTCCATTGGTTCCTAGCAAATTGAACAGTGTATCCAAGTCATTTGGGAAGAAATTACTTGACAGAGTCCAAAGAGCTTTGGACTTAAGACAGTCCAAAACTTGAGAGAGTCCAAAAAATAGCCACCTGTATGAGCAGAGTCTTACGTGGTAAGCTGTGGGAGGCAAGGCTGAGGGATCTGGGACTCTTCAGCCTGAAGAAAAGAAGGCTGAGAGGGGACCTGGTAGCAGCTTACCGCTACATTAGGGGAGTACATCAAGGGCTTGGTGAGCAACTGTTCACCAGGGCACCCGTGGGGAAAATAGGAGTAATGGCCACAAACTCCTGAAAGACCAATTCAAGCTCAAATTCAGGAGAAACATCTTCTCAGTCAGGGTGTCCAGACTGTGGAATACATTCCCTCCAAAGGTGGTGCAATCACCTACCCTGGAAATCTTCAAGAGGAGACTAGGCAGTCACCTTGCTGGGGGCACCTGACCCCAGTTATCTTTCCTGTTTGGTGCAGGGGGCTGAACTCAATGATCCTTCAAGGTCCCTTCTGGCCTTACAATCTATGAAATCCTACTTACAAAGCCTCTGTGTTCTTGTTGATATTCAAGCATTATTACAACTGTTGCAATGCCAATCCAATGCAGCTGCAAAAGCTGATTGTTAGAAATGCTTAAAAGACATTATTCTCATTTTAATATATCCTGCTAAGGAACAGAAGAACAGGAAGTCCTAGTATGTGGATCCTTCTCATTCATATCTAACAGATGCTAAACGGTGAGCGAAAGAAGGCATTTGTTTTTGCATTCAGCTCTATGGAGTTCAGTTATGTCTCTCCTTAAACTCTACTAAACAGCTAATCATGAACACCTGCAGCTATGTTATTTATTAGTCATTGCAAGAAGGGAAGAGCTTTGCCATTAACGGCAGCAGTAGATCGCTGTATCTGAGACATAGGGCATAATACTTAAGGGACCACCTCCTCCTTTACATCTAGTTGTGATCCTTAAGGTCATTTGAGAACAACCCACTGCAAGTTCCATCGGTGCATCAAGTTTGTCTGGTGAAAAAGCATAAGTGGTTGCTCTTGCTAGTCACTCCTCAGCTTTGGAGCTACCTCCCACTGGAGGCCTACCAAAATCCAAGCCTGCACATCTTTCAGAAGTGTTGTAAGACCTTATTTGGGTAAGATTTTAGTGGGTGGGGTTAAAATTTGGGTTTTGTTTTGGGATTTATCATATCTTTTACTGTTTAATGTTAATATATATGTTTTTGATATAATCGTTTTTATTGTAAACTGTCCTGAGTCTTTTTGGGGGAGGGTGGCATAGAAATCAAATATATAAATACATCTGTGTTCTCCCACTTGTATGAGCCTTTGCAATTGTGTCTATTAGTGGTAACAAATAAGTGTGATGATCAAAGGACTTTAATAATTATGTTTATTGCCAATAATGAAACATCAGATTTTGTAAGTATGTAAGCAGCAAATTCAGATGAGAGGAAATCAGGAAAGATAACCATAACCATGCTTCTGCCTGTTTTTGTGAAAGAGTACAGGACTCTGTAGATCCAGCTTCAGCAGCATTTAGTGGCAGGGGGCTTTAGCTGCAGGAGTTCCCCCCATGCTGCCACAGGGACAAATGCCAGTTGTGGTCAAGTCCTAGTGTCTGCCTTCCCATCCACTCTTACCATAGGATGGATCATTCCAGCCAGGGAAGGTTGCCTACCTCTGGCATAGAAAGATTTCCTCGGAAACAACCCATTAATTTTAGGTTATAATGTGAACATTTTTTTTTCCTGTTGCCACAGTTATCTGAAAGACTGAAATAAGTTTCAGGTTTTGTTTGAATGGTTGAAGCAAGTTGCAGTCTAGTGTTCTCTACCCTATGGTATGGGCAATGCCTATACCCACATCTTGTGCAAAACAAAACTGTAAAAATGATTATTTGTATTCAAAAGTCCTGTTGTAAATTTGTAGGTACACTTTTGTTTAGTGAGCTGTTAATTCAAGTGAATGAAGTTAACTGGTATCCTACCTTTTATTCCATCTGAGAGCGGATTGATACATTACCATTGTGGGATTATATTTTCTCTAGGTTCTGAAATGGTGCTTATAGTATCAGAGTGTCTTCCAATACAGCATTGTTCTTAGCACGTAAACATTAGCACACTTCCTCTCTCTCGCAGCAGGGAAAGCAAGTGTAATGGACTTTCTCATTTTTATTTTGCTTCTATTTGGGATAGGAATTGTTTTGGTGGGTTTTTTTGTTCTTTACGGTAGGGATTATGGTGATTCTAGAAACCTAGGGATAATAAAATAGTTAACCTAATATTTTTCATAGAACTATAATGTTTCATAATGCTAATTTTTTTTTAATGGAGTCTCTTATTTTATGTTGGCTTAAAAATGAAAATGCCCCTGAACTCCTCTAAATACAGATTAAACTAGCTATTCCACCTTTACTATTATCTAATAGGATCTATATAGCAATACATTCCTTTTTTTAATGTTTGTCTATGTCCTCTGAGCATTGTATGTAC